AACAAGTGATCTATCCAAACTTACACTGCTTGTCAGGCATAGGGTTGGGAAAAACCCCAATGCTCTCCATAGTACACTGATCCTTACAGCACACAGCCTATCCCTAAGAGTCATCTAAACACCCACCTCTATAGATCAAAGACAAACAAGGATTTACAGCTGGTTTGCTGACCACCTAAACGAGGATTTAGAGCTGGTTTGCTGACCACCTAAACGATATACTGCCAACAGTCACCATTAAATGCCATGCTAGCAGTGGCTTCTAGTCAGAACCTTTCTAAGAACCAGACACAAGCTGTACAGCTGCTCTTCCTCAGGAATAAGAAGGTATTTTGTTTACCACCCTTAGTGTACAGCAGGACAGACCCTTGCACAGCACAGCCCGAGCTGCTGTTACCAAGTCTGTAAGTGGCACCCCCACAGGTCTCTCTGGTGGCAGAGCAATCCCTCTGTCACCTCTGGGAGCAGCAGGCAAACACCACAGCCACTGATCCCACTATTGATCCTGCAGGCATTCATGTCTGTGTAGACCTCATGGCTTCCAACCTTGCCCTAGAAACTGGGGTTAAGTTCCAATTTAGCAACTTCCAACACGTCCTAGTCTATTCACAGCTCCCTGACACACCAGCGCCCTGGCTGGGGGAGCTCCCATTTTTCTGGCTGTGCCAAATCCTCCCTGCAAGAAGTGGACCATAGGCAAAAAAGGACTACTCAAGAAGACATAAGATGATCTCCGTGCTACAGGGAAACATGATCTATCAGAAGCTACATCTCCTGCATGGCAGCTCTGCCACAGACAAGTTATTTCTGTTTGCTCCTGCTCCTGGCAGCTCTGCCACAGACAAGTTATTTCTGTTTGCTGCCCACACATAGGTACTTTTGACACTACAGTAAATGAGAGTAACGAGCTCTATAATTCTCTTACAGCTAAGCCTAACCTGCAAGCTCTCACACCTGATACAGATTCTGTAATCTACAATTGTTTATGCTCTCTATGTATAGACTTTAAGAAATCACATTTGCATAATATAAATACATTGCCTTTCCAAACTAGAAAAACCAAAGCTTTTTGCAGCTTGTACAGTTTAAAAAAATAAAAATCCCAAACTGTGAGTGAATTCTGAAAGGCCATGCTCCCCAATGCTTTGCTGTGCAATGTAAAATTGTATCAGGCTCACTGATTTCAGAAGGGTTCTCTAAAAGAAACACTCAATCCACTTGCAGTTTACTGCCCATCATTCTCCCTGCCATCTCTTCCCTAATCCCAAATACTCTATTGATGAGCACTTTGACCAGATCAAATTAGGATGAGGATTTAATCCTTCCAAATGGCACAATCCAGACAGCAGGAGAGCTGTGACATTTCAGAACAGTGTCCCCAGCCCTTTTGTAGTTCACTTGTTCAGCAGACCCAGGAAAAAACCAAGGCATGCAACTGGTTAAAAAGGAGGCATGAATAGCAGTGAAAGGGGCCATATAAAGATGTAACCTACACCAAAAACCAGAACAAACTACAGAGGAAAAACAAACACAGTAGGAGAACTTTGTAAGTGGAAGTTTTCACCTGCACATCACAAAACAGCTCTAGGACCATAGAGAGCACAAGTAGGTATCTTTCCTCATGTCTCCACATACAGAATCTACAGTCTTTACAAAAAAGACAAAGTCTTATGCAGCTTCCAGAAAAAAACCACACCTGTTTTTAAACTATGGATATGCATGCAGACTTGTTTAAGTAAACATATAAACTTGTCAAGTTTCTAAAAGCCAGCTCCACAGACTGACAGCTAAGTTTTTCAGAGCAAGTAATGTCATTTTCTATGCTGTGAGAAGCACACAGAACATTTCAGATACTGGATAGCTGGGAACTGAACATGCTTTATTTAGCTCCACACCTCTACTGACTGACAAAACACAAAAGCCATTAAAATGCCATTAAAATAAAGTGCAGAAACACAACTGTGCAAAGAAAGGGCAAAACTTGTTATTTCTTGGGTCTTTGTCACCAGCTCAGATTGATTTAATTTTGCCATCTACTATAAGGGGGAAGGGGAGGTGAGAGGAACAAAACAAATGGCATCTAAAAAACTGAGAAGTTAAAGACAAACAATTTAATGAGAAGATAAGAATGTGCTTATAAAATGAGTTTTCACTGCTGGGAGAGAAAGCAGACAGTAACTGAACCCATGCCCTCAAAATACTGTGCTTCACTGCCAGCTTGCATTTTAGCTCCACATGCCACTAACTGATTTTCTTCTTCAGATCTGAAGGAAAGCAGGCACTCATAGCACAAGGCAGCACTTTTACAAAACAAGCTGAAAGAGAAGGTACTCTCCTCCTAAAGCTGCTCTGTTCCACAATATACAGCTCCTTAAGCAAAAAGCCTCCTCTTCCAGACTTCTTTCTTTTGCAGTTTTAGAGGGAGAAGACAAGAAGACCTACATCACACTGGAGATGCGATTCCTAAATACTGCTTCAGACTCACTGCCTGTGTCCTAGGCTGGACCAGATTTCACCCAGCAGGACAGATTTAAGGAAAAGGAGAAATGCTTATTCATGAACTAAGCTAAGCCTTGAGATGCATTTGGCAAGCCACCTGGATCAAACAATTTACCCCACACACAATGACACACAAGATGACAGACCATGAGACACACGTCATTCCTTGCACCCTTAAAACAATGAAGAAAAAACACATGCAGACAGAAAAAAACCCCACCAACCTCTACCTAAAAAAATCCCAATTCCATAAGCAATCCACTGGTTTTAGCATAAAAAATTAAGAAGCAGGAATTCAGCTTCTATCCCTTGTTCCCTCTCAGTCTCCAGAAAAATAATAGAGCCTGACAAACAGGGTGTGAAACAACAGACCACCACCTGCCTTTAAAAGGACTACTGGAAGACTAGAAGCCAAAAAAAGTTCAGTTCTTGATGCATGGATGCATTGAGCTATTATTAACTTGTGTTAACTATCACAAATGAATTAACCAGAGCTGCACTGCACAGCACAGCATTCCTCTCGGCAGGAATGAAACAAGGTGATCAGGACAGTAAAGGAGGCAATTCTCCACATCTGGCCTTTTCTTCTGCTCATCTCACTACCTCGTTATTAAAAGGGAGACACTGACAAAGCACAACAGGTCACCCAGTTTTTTTCCCCATCTCGAGTAAGACTGAACAATATGAAACTGTTTATTCTAAGCGTACTTTATTCAAGGTTACCAATGTCACTGCTAATTAACAGCAATGAAAAAAATATCTACAAAATACAAAAAGAACTCTCCTGGTCTAAGAGCAAGAAGGTTCTTGCTTGCTCTTGCTAGCTGCAGTTCCTGTGAACTAAACTCCTTCTGATAACTTATGAATGTTCTTACCCCATGACAGAGAAATGCAAAAGTACCAATATACCTTTAGACATCAATCTCTATTCAGTCTGTTTAAAGAACAATTTCTGAATCCCTTCTTTTATTAAGTCTTTTATTGAGCTACTATTGACTTTGGCAATTGCCCTTCTATACCCAGTGCTAAGACTTATTTTGCATATTCTTAATTAATACACCTGAGTCTAGTAAAACAATATACTTAAAAGACAGCAACTCAGAAAAAAATCATAAATTGTTAGGTCAATTCTTTTTGGGAAAATTATACTTTCAGTTACTGAAATAAAAGCTTTCATTTCCTTTCCTAACACTGACCACAAAGTACGGATTTTCATTGCATGGAGGGGAATACAGAGACTCTCCCCACCTACGTTCCTGCCGGGTGGCACATAACCTTGTTGGACTACAAGAAATAGTGTTATTTCTTAGGATACAATCCTGCAGAAATCAAAATGGTCAGTAACCATGAAAACAACATTATACAATGCTGTTTGAAAGCAAACTTTCATACTTGTAGTTATTTATAGGTAGCTTGTTCGGTGTCTGTTTAAAACTAAGTATCTCCCCATCAGTTCCTGTTCATGTTGTTACAAAGATTTTACAAGCCTGTTTGCCTACAGAAAGATTATTTTCTCAGGCACTTCACCAGAGGCTCACAGTGGTTTTTTACCCCCGTTTCAGCCACAAGTAAAGCTTAAAAACCAGCCAACAGCTTTATTTTACAGCCACCTCCAACCAGACGCGCGGATCGGTCCCAGCGACACAGAGGAGCGATGCTCCAAGCCCGAGCAGCCCGGAAAGCAGCACAGCACCAGGTTCGTGTGATATCCCCGGGCAAGGCGCATTCCCTACGGAGCGGAGCAGCGGATCCCATCCTTTCCCCCGCTCGCCCTTCGGCTGCGCTCCCCGCTCAGCCCGCGCATCTCCCGGCGGCGCTGACCGCCGGCCCCGCTCCCGGCCGGGCGCTGCCGAGCGCGGGCAGGAGGCGGGACCGGCCCGGGCCCGCTCTCACCCCGACGGGACGCGGCCAAGGGCACGGCAAGGCCGCAGCCCCGGCCGCCTCCTGCCCGGGCGCAGCCCCGCTGCCCCGCGGCCGCCATCCACCGCCAGACCCCGCACACGTCCCCGCGCCGGGGAACGCTCCCCGGGAGAGAGACCCCCGGCCCGAGGCGCCGCGCCGGGCACGGCCATCCTTCCCGCGGCAGCGCCGGTGCCGCCATCACCTGCATCCCTTCCCGCACCGCTCCCCCGCATGGCAACGGACGAACTCCCACAGCCGGGGCACCACCACCACCGGGGGCACCACCAATACCGGGAGCTCGGCTACCCCCACCCCGCCACCACAGCCCGGCCTGGCCTGGCCCAGCCGGTCGCCTCCACTGTCGCGGTCGCTTCCCATACCCTGGCCCGGCACAGCCCAGCAGCCACCAACTCGGCTCGGCTCCGTTCCGCTCGGCTCGGTGGCCGCGGCCCGGGCCCGCACGCCTGTTTACTGCCGCCACCGCCCCCGGCCGCGGCCGGGCCGCGCGCCCCGCCCCCGCCGCGCTCCCATTGGCGGAGCCCGTGCGCCCCGCGCCTCCGCCAATGGGCGGCGGGCTCGGGCGGGGCTCCGGCCAATGCGGGGCGGGCCCGGCGCGGCGCGCGCGGCGGCTGCAGGGGGACGTGAGGCCCGTGAGGTCCGTGCGGCGGCGGGCGGGGGGGGCGCGGGCAGCCGGGTGAGGCGTGAGGAGCGTGTGCTGCGAGCGGGGCGGCGACAGCCGCCGTCTGCCGCCGCTGGGCTGGCTCCCCCCGGGCTGGGCTTCCCTAGCGAACGGGGACCGCCCGGTCGCCGTGTCAGTCGGAGGTGGAGGCGTCTCGGCGCGGTCCCGGCTGGCGGGGCGGGGGAGGGAGGTCCCGCGGTGGGAGAGGATGGGGCGGGCAGCGCTCGCACCCCGCGGCTGAGGTGGGCGCAGGAGGCCGGGGTGTCGCTGCTCCGGGGGTCCCACGTTCCCCATTAATGTGCATGAGGAGCCCGGCAGGCTCCAGGGAAACGCCGGGCGAAGGGACCAGCTCCCAATTCGTGGCGCTCCGTGTCCGGGAAACCTTTGTTTGTGGTTGCCCCTGTGATGCTTTTCAAAGCATCGTGTCACGCAGGCATTGGGAACCATTCACGTTGTTGGGAAATGCTCGTATGCACGTTGGAAGCAAATGCGGTGCCTTGCTCCCTGCAGGTCGGTGCCAGGGATGTGGCGTCCCGCGGAGGCTGCGGGGCGCTCGCAGGAACGGCAGCTCCGTGCTGGATGGATGCTCTGGTAAGCGCCCGCCTCTGTCAGCAACTTTCCCGTCTGAAAAATAACAATACAGCCGTTCTGGTGCATTTGCCACATGGCTGCATCAGTGCAGGAGTGAGGTTTGGAGATTAAATCATTCGTTCCTTCCTAAACCAAACAGGATTCATAATCCTTCTCCAGTTGTAGCATAACTTGCAGGAGTGACCAACAAACAGCCCGGAGCTTTAATTTCACCATTATCAATTGCTTGTTTTGGCTGACCTTTTCAGCTAACTAGTAGCTTGAATTGAGCACTTAAATCCCCACCAGAGGACCTGTATCTAAGTCAGGAGTTGTGGATGCTGTGGATTTGTGAAGAAGGAAAATGGATAAATGGTCTGCTCTAAGTGTGTAGGGAGGTTTAACCTGTGAATATTACTGCCAATGTGAATATTATTGCCAGAGTTGCCCTCCTCTGTAAAGAGAGACAATTATTATCTCCAGCTGCTCAGACAAAAGATGTTTTGGCTGGTTTTTACCAAATATTGTTCCAGTACTACACATATTCCTTCACGTTTTTAAAAAAAACCAAAAATATTTGCATCTCCCCCAAGCCCCTCTCAGCTTCCCACATAAACCCTGAGAAGGTCTCTATAAGGCACTGAACAGACAGCCACAAATAAATTTAGCAAAATTCATCACCCAAACATTATCAAATTAGAAGCCAGCTCCAATCAGGACTAAAAAGGCTGGATTTGAATTTGAAAGGTGAAATAAAAACCAGTTCGCTGGGAAAGGCACGTTATTGAATTAAATGCTTAACACAAAGGCTGTGTGTAGACAAAATATATCTGAAATGGAAAGGGCAAACACAATACTTTGATAAGGGGATGGAGGCTCAATATGTAGATGAAGTAAAAACATGACTGTAATAAGAGACCAGCCTTGAGAAGTTTTGTCAAAAAAATGCCTAGTTTTCTTCATTTCAATACTCACACCTGTGGAAATTCCCACAAATTAATCGTTCTGTTTGTGGTTAGGCTCATACTATTTCTAATAAAGGAAAGATCATATGTGCCCTGATCTGGAAAGAGGTAAGTTTTAGGTGTCTTTTCTAACGACACCCCTTTATCTGTTCCTGTGCCGAATTTGGATGTCAGCGCTCAGTTTCTGTGCAACATCGCTTTGCTTGCGTCAGCTCGGCGTTAATTGTGAAACATCTTACTCACTGTGCTGAGCACGGGGAACTGGAAGGTTTATGCTAGAGCAGGCTGCCATAGTTTGAGATGGAGGCAGAACAAGCACAGGAGGGTGAAGCTCTCCCCATCTCTCAAAGACAGGCCTGGCTGGTTCCCTTCATTCACACGTGGTAAACCATTGGATATTTCTGCCACTGCTGTTCAATTTGCATCACACCTTCTCCTGCCAGACTTTCTGCAGCCTTAAAAGACCCATTGAACTTGAGCTCTTTCTGTACATAAAGAAGAGAGAAGTGTCTGTATTCCCACCTAATTTGGAGTGCAAAGATGTAGGACTGAAGCTGCTGGGAAAAAATAGTGTATGTCCCTCTTTGTTACTTCTTAGTTCTTAGGTGGAGTAGGGACAAGACACCCAGGACTCAATCCAGAATCCAGAGGTTAATTTTTGTGGGAACAGTTGCCTACTTTGTCCAGAATCCTGAATAAAACTTTGAACATGATGTATATGAAGTGCTGGGAGAGCTGTTCCATGGCAGATCTCCCTGTAAACTGAGGAAAAATGGTAATAGAGAAAAAATATTGTCAGTATTTGGGATTGGTTTAGTGCTACCAATTGTGAGATTGACAGCGTTTGATCCTGAAAAAAGGAAGGGCCAGTGTTGTACTTGGGAAATAGGCCAGGGAGTCATCCTTTTCTTCAGGAAGGGTATCCCTGGTTCATGTAACAGCCTTGTTGGCTGTTCCTCTGGGCTTTGGGGTGTTCAGGTTCCTTTCTCTGCTTGTGAAGCCTTAACAGCACCCCACACACTGAGACCCCAATCATTATGCATACTCTTGTCTTCTCTCTTCAGCCTTACTCATATTATTTAATGGGAAAGTTCAGCAAAAGGAAGTGAGAATGAAGCAATCCTCCAGTCCCATCCAAATCCCAGACAAATATGCAGTCAGGCCTTGTGCAAACTGTGCCTTGTCCAGTGGCACATGGAGACATGGACAGGAATCCTGTGGGGGTCAGCCCAGGCTGCCCCATTCTGGTTTTGTGCCCTCCACCAAAGCAGTGTAGGTGAAACAGCAGCTTCATCCAGGCACTGAATCTGGGCAGGGTTTGTGTAGAAGCTGATCTGCTGAATGTGCTATGCAAACATTAACACATAAAGTCCTTCCAAGCAGGGTAGAGGGAAGAAACCTAATCCCTGTAGAGAGGTCCTTTTTACAAGGGCCTGTAGGGAGACAGGACAAGGAGGAATGGATTCAAACTAAAAGAAAGCAGACCTAGGATAGATATTAAAGAGAAATTCTTTACTGTGAGGGTGGTGAGGCCCTGGCACAGGTTGCCCAGAGAAGCTGTGGCTGCCCCATCCCTGGAAGTGTTCAAGGCCAGGTTGGATGAGGCTCTGAGCAACCTGGTTTGGTGGAAGATGTCCCTCCTCATGGCAGAGGGTTGGAACTAGTCAAACTTTTAAGGTCCCTTCCAACCCAAACTATTCTGTGATTCTATGAAACTTCTTTGTAAATACCTAAACGCTGACATCCATTCATGCTTTAGTGCCTCCAGTGGATGTGACAGCAGAATGAGGTTGTTGCAGGTTAAAAGGTTTTGCATCAGTGTCTAAATCTCATGTAATTTTTGTGCTATATACCTGCATTCTTTTGGAGGTGTGTGTAGTGCAGAGACTAATTTGCAGAGCAAACCAAAGCAGTCCTGTGAGAAAGCAAGTTCCTAGACTCTGAGGAATCTCTTGATTAGATATAAGAATAAGAAGTGAACATTATTAATAAATCAGCTAAAACACATTTTTTTGCAATACAGCTGTCATTTTCTTCTTGTATCTTGCTTGGTAGTGTTCTATTCAGTCAAATTTCAACATACTGCCTTATCTAGAAACATTTCTGTGAGCATTTCTAGCAAGAAACTTACAACTATGAGGAGTATATAAACCAGTCTTGTATTAAATTATAATAAAATCATTATTAGTTTGATTATAGTAATATTATTATAAAGCTATAAATACTAAAATGATCTATCTATCCTCATGATATATATAAATGTAATCAAAAATATAATAAATTTAAATTATAACTAATAGTTGCAATTTAACTAGTGTCGGAATCATACTCCCCCAGAGACTTCTCTCTACTAATGTTAAAAGGATGTGTTCAGGATCATTTAACTCTCAAAATATCCTAATTTTGCAGGTCAGTGGGAAAGCCTCATGTAGCAGCTGGAAGTCCTGACTCCACAGCAGATGCTTTAGCTGTGCCATCCTATCCCCACCCCATATTGCTTGTTGATCTTTATGTAAGGAAGGGCTTCATGGTGCAATTTCATGGGGTGCATAAACAGCTCTGCTGCAGGCCTGGGCTAGGAGCAGCAAGAAGGGCACTGGGAAGGGCAAGCCCAAGGTTGCCTAGCTGTGATTTCCAGCAGGGTCCCTTGGGTGGGATCTTCTTCCTGCTCCTGTTCACTGTTAGTTCTGAGAGGAGTCTCTTTGCTCACCAGACATCAGCTCACCATTTACTGGGTGCCAGGGAACACCCAAATAAACCTCTGCCAGTGCTGATGCTGACTGAAGCACCTGGGGAAAGCTGACTTCCTCAAAGCCTTGTACAAAGTGGGACATGTTCCCAGAGAGGAATGAGCCAGAAGGGCTAAACTTCTACAAACAGAAAAAGTTAGAGAAGCAGAGCCTGGAAGGATCTTTGAGCCCTGCAGTAAGAAGGCCTGCATTGCAACAGAAAATTACTGGGCAGACTACTGACCTGCAGAAAAAAAGTTAATGGAGCCTCAATTAAGCAGTAGTTGGTCATGTAATTAGGCTGACAAGTATCCAGGCTGTTCAGAGAACACTCAGAAATTCTCTTGCATAGGACAGGCCCAAACTGTTTCTCCAACCACAATATGTATGGTTGAACTTTATGAACCTGGAGGGCTTTTCCAAGCTTAATGATTCTAGGAATCTCTAATATACATCACCATCCTTCTCTCATGTTCATACAGCTAACCACAAAGCAAAAACTGCTCTGGAAGTGTTTCCCTCAGTCCTCCTTCTCCAAGCAACTTCTGAGGCTCAGATGAGCTACCTCTTGATGGGTTTTGCCTTGAGTTCACTCATCTTCTCTAGAAGGTAATTTCTTCAGGGGCAGATGCAATGTCTTCTCTGACTCTGTAGATTTATGGCGTCCCATCAACATAATAATACAGGGATGATGAAGTGGAACAACTCAAGTGCAAGTCACTGGACAGGTGGCTTGGTTTTAGTAGTTAGCTTGTAGGTATTTCAAAACTTTGGCAGGTGTCAGTGATGCTGTTTGTACCATATGTTATTTATATGGCTTTATGGCCAAGAATGAGAGCAGGAGCTCTCAGAGAAATGGCATCTCGCTGACTCAGCCAATTCTAGATGCACATGCAGTATCATCATAGGATCCAAATTATGAGCTATTTTTGTTAAGCTTATTACTGCTGTGGTTTCTGAACTGTGTATTTTCATCCCAAAGCATTCTGCAATCATTGCACTTGTCCTTCCTTCTTCTCTCTCCACTCACTGCAAAGGGACAGAGGCAAGGTGCCATTTCAGTTAGCACTTTAATTTTAAGATGATTTACTGCTGTCAGAAGGGGGTGGTGTGGCAGTTCTCAAGATATTTTCTGTCCAAGAGGAAGATATAGTGCAGGGAGCAGGACAGATATTTCCTAGAATCACAGAATATGCTGAGTTGGAAGGAACCCACAAGGATCATTAACTCCAACTTCTGGGTCTGCACTGGACACCACAAGATTCACACCATGTGCCTGACTGCACTGGCAAACACCTCTTGGATTCTGTCGGGCTTGGTGCTGTGACCACTCCCCTGAGGAGCTTGTTCCAGTGCCCAACCACCCTCTGGCTGAAGAACCTTTTCCTAATATCCAACCTAAACCCCCCCTGACATGACTTTATGCCATTCCCTCAGGTCATGGCACTGGTCACCACAGAGAAATTCCATTATTCCCACCCGTTTTCCTTCTGGAGCTTTCAGTGAGCAGCCTTGCTCTGCACAGCTGCAGAGGGCAGGGAATGCCAGTGGGGCTGGGAGGAGGTGAGCAGAGGTGGGTGCCAGGTTCTGTGGAGGAGAGGGGACTGCTGAAGGGCTGTCTTGTCCCCTAATTGAAAAAAGGGAGGGTGAAGAAGGCACAAAACCCTTCCCTTTGCCCCCTATGTTTTGCCTTGCCTCTCTGTGCCCCTGCTCACACCGCCCTCCTTTCCATATCGCCCAGAAAGGAGCTGCTTTGGGGAAGGAAGGAAGGAAAGGTGATGAAAGAAAACAAAACTAGGTGCTGCTGTCAGGGTGAGGTGGTAACAAGCCATGACAAGCCCAAGCCACACTGTTGTTCCTCAGTGACAGGAGGCTGCCAGAAAGGGCTGTGCAGCACACCATGGAAACACCACCACGCCAGGCGTGGCTGTGCCTCAGCCACCCAGCTCTCCTCCAGACTGCACCATGTGGGGGCCAAGTGGGTCCTTTGGAAACTGGACACAAGCCCATGGCAGTGGAGGACATTAAGAGAAAGACAGTGCAGGTGAAAAGGTGCAGATACAAGCACTAAATGGAAGAAAGGGATACCAGTCCTTGTCTTTGGGTTAGTGTGTGGGACAGTGCAGGACAAGGACAGGACCATGGGCCCTGCCACCTTAGCAATTTATACAGTAAAACATTCACAGTATTATATTTGCCAGTTCAAATCGTGTTGCACAACAGTGCTTTTTTATGGGTGTTGAGCAAAGCCATTTTGAATGAGATGAAGAGTGCAGTAGCCTGATTTTCAGCTGTGTGCCTCAAGAACATGGCATTTCTGTTTCTCTGTTGAACTCAGTTAAACATTATTCAGTCTGTAATTCTTCTTTGTCTGGACTAGACAGATCAGTTGTTTCTGCTCATTGTAAATTGCATTTGCTTGCATAGTTTGGTGTTTTGCTCTCTCCCCTTGGCACCTGATTGTTTACATGAACCTCAATCGATCCTGCATGGACAAGGTGGAAAGTCTCAATTCTTTGTAGCTTCCAGCCAGGATTTGCTTTACAGATGATAACTGGCAGAGCCATTCACCCCCTGGGCAAACATGGCAAATTAATTTTAAAGCTAGGCAAACAGGAACAAGTTCTTTGCCTGCATTTAGCTGCCCTGAAAAGCATTTTGCCAAGGACAGAAGGGTTATCTGAACAATTTGGGCAGAGTTGTTCTAAATGGGAAGACAGGCTGGAGCCAGAGAACATGGCAGAAACAGAGTTATTTCTGAACACTTTACTGGAACTAAGAATTAACACTAGTCATCATAGTTCTGCTGGTTAATGGCAAAGTGTGCTGCCAAACTCAGCCACTGCCCCAGATTTTGGCATGGCATTGCCATGTCTCACAGAGCTGGAGAGCAGCGAGCTACCTTGCCCTAGCCTGGAATCATCCCCAAGACACCGTGTTTTCTTTCACTGCCCTGAAAGCCAGTACTTGTTCTGGCTTCCTGGCTTCCTGCCTCACTGTTCCAAACACAGCAAGGTGTGGGATGCAGACATGGAAAGCTGCAGGGTGTTTCTGAGTGCCTGTGTGGCAAATGGACAAACTCACAACCTCCATCCACTTGCCAGACAATGATTCACAGATAGTCATGACAATTTACTTCTAGCAGTCAGTCTGCAGGGATGTTGTGGCTTCAAAACCCAAAAGCCAAAACCAGTATGGGAAAGCAGGATTGTTGCTGCCTTTGGATGCTGACTGACCTTTTTCCTGCTTTGCTGTGGCTATCAATCCAATTCCAGAAGCCAATTGAGCAGGACTGCATAATGTAACCTCTGCTATCTGCATCTGTGTCTGCATACCTGGACAGAGGGAGACCAGCTGGTGGCAGAACATCCTGACTGACACGTACCAGAGTGCAACTAAGAGGGAGACACCAGCAATTAACAAGGCTCTGGTAGGAGTGACTGATTGAGAGATGCTCCAGACATCCAGGTTAAGCCCTTCATTTGATCCTGAGCAAATTATTCAACTCCTATCTGTAAAATAGGGTTAATGGCATTCTTCTGCTCTGTCATGCTCCTAATGCCTAAAGAAGTGTTTGGAAAGCCTCAGTGGAAGTACAGCAGAGGAATTTCAACCTGCTCAGTGCTAGTGTGCAGGGAAAAGGGTTTGCCTTCAGGCACAGCAGTGCTGAGAACCAGCGCTGCAGGTTCACTCTGCCATCAACTGGCAGACACTTGTGAGATTTCCAGCCTGGAGGAGCCCAAGGTGTGAGCACAAGGATGACCCTTTCCTTCAGCAGTCCCACCAGACACACTACCTGAGGATGCAGCCTGGACAGTGACTACACCCTGCACCATCCACTCTATGCACTGTAGCAACTTTGGCTTGTTTTGCTGGTGGTCTGCTTTCCCAGCATAGGAGATGTTACTCCTTTCCTGAAATACAGATGTTCTCACTGTCCTGCAGCAACACTCCTATTTCATGACAGTGATACATAGCATGTGCATCCAAGAGTAGCAGAGAATGTACCTTAACCCTTTACATGCTAAATGCCCTCATTTCTCCATTCTATTTAAGTCCTTGTTTGGTGCATTTGCCATTTCATTCTTGCTTGCCCACCCAAATCACACAGGGACAGAAATCAGGGCAATTCTTTTCCATATTGAAGAAGAAAGTTAAAACAGTTGTCATATCCCTTGAAACTCAAAGAATACTCAAGAAGACTGTTAGCACAATAGCTGGAGAACAAAAATAGCTCAAATCTGAACTTCACAGAATATCACAAAAACTGTATTTGGTAGGGGCTTAAAGAGAGGGCATGTCTTTTCTGGCTTGATGAAGGGATGACATTCCTGTTTAGAACAGTTCTGCTAATGCTACTGGCATTTTATTGCTACTGTTTGTACACAGGATAGGTAGCTTTTAAAATAATCCTGGATCCTACCTTCAGCTCCAGGGATCTTGCTTGTCTTACGCCAGTTTTGGAGGAAGGCTCATATTCTTTTATACACAAATGCATCTCAGTGAAGTCAGGGAAAATTTTAAATGCTTGTACCTTAAGCTTTGTAAAGGTTGGAGATGGCATGGCATAAGTTAAATAGGCTGGATCAGTTTTCCACACTTCTACTTTATGAATCATTCCTGGTCTGCTTGAATGCAAGTTAGCTATGGAGTTACACATATTTTATACCAGGGTGAGCAAGGTCGCCTTGAAATCATGGAAACCAGTGATCCAGGAGAAAATAGGCCTAATGATTTTCCTACTCCACCCCCTTCTGCAAGGCAGGTTCAGGAGTGCCAGGCTTCCTGGCATTTATTTCAGCACAGATCTAATCCCAAGTTGGCTGTGGGAACTGTCACTTACCTCAGGCTGCATTTGATAGGGCTCGAACAGTTCCCACTTTTGGAAAACTCCTACTCCATCTACTTGGCCCTGTACCTGCCTCAGGTTTCTGTATCAAGGAGTTTAGCTAGTTCCACTTCAAAGTCTCTGTTTATTTAGATCTTTTTAATAGTGAGCCACAAATAGTGCTGAGCACTGGCACCTCCCAAACTGTGCTCTTGGGCACCTGTCAAATGTGTTGCGCCAAGAAGATAACAGTTCATATTTGCTTAACTCCTTCAGTGCTCAGGGCAAACACCTTGCATTTAGAGTGGCAAAAGGTAATGGCAAACCTGCAGCAAAGCAATATGTAAAAAAGAAGTAACAGTAACTTGTGTGATGGTGTTTGATGCCATGATCTGATGTGGACAGATGTTCCTTATGTATCCAAGCTCAAACCCAACATGGTCATGTATCCTGCCAGTACCTGAGGGGAGCCCAAAAGAAAGAGGGAGAGGTACTTTTTACAAGGGCATGTAGTGATAGGACAAGGGGGAATTGCTTCAAACTGAAAGACAGTAAGTTTATATTAGTTATTAGGATAAAATTCTTTACTGTGATAGTGGTGAGACACTGGCACAGGTTGCCCAGAGAAGTTGTGGCTGCCCATCCCTGGAAGTGTTCAAGGCCAGGCTGGATAAAGCGACCTGGTCTAGTAGAAGGTGTCCCTACCCATATGAGGGGGTTGGAACTAGATGATTTTAAAGTCCCTTCCCACCCAAACCATTCTATGATTCCATGATTTACTCTCTTGCTTTGTTTCCCACTAGAATGAGAACAGCTCACATCACTTTACCTGACTGAGGAAGAAAGGATAAATTCCATGAGGAATACAATGTGTGTTGGGGGCATACAAATAGTGTTGTAGGAGAACTTCTGGCAAAGATACCACATCTCTCCAGACTGCTTTCTTACAAAACAACCAGGTTCAAGAAAATAAGATACCCCCTGGTCCTCCTGAGGACACAAACAACAGAGAAACATAGAATGGTTTGGGTTGGAAAAAAACCATCTAGTACCAACCCCCCTGCCATGGGCAGGGACACCTTCCATTAGACCACGTTGCTCAAAGCCCATCCAACATTATCTAGCTTGTCCCTAGATTTCTCAGTGCCAAGAGCTGGAAGGACAAGCTGTGTGCTCTTTTTTCCTCCCAGATTAGCAAGACCTACTCTCCAGATAGGAGACTGGAAGTGAGAGGAAGAATGACAAATCAGTAAGTATAATTATTCCTTTCCTTCTTGAAGGTGCTCAGAAAAAATGTTTATTTATGTAATAAATTGAATTTAGCAATGCCTGGAGGAGCCCCTGACTTATGCTTGGGACTTTGAGGAATGAAACTAGGACTGGATGATTTATTAAAAAAAGGGGGAGAGAACCCAAATAAAAATGGAGTGTAACAGCAGCATCTCACCCAGGACTGTAGTGCTGAACATGGCATCACACTGAAAGCAGCTGGTTTTAAATGAATTCAGGTTCAGCGTGAGCTTGTTCTCACTGAAAGTCTTTCCCATGCAGGGCCAAAACCACAGCTGTGGTGCTGGAGTGTGGGGTGCCTGCCTTTCTTCTTTCTTTTTCCTGCCACAAAGGAGATTGCAGGGCCTTCAGCCTCTCTGAAAAACAAGGGGCACAGGGCAGAGGACTTTAAAATGGCTGGTACTTCTCCACATAGACCTACTGCCCTCCCGTGGCTGCCAAGGAGCATCTCTAAAGCAGAAACTGAGATCAGGGACTGAGGGAAACAGAAAAGAAAAATAACTCTATATTCAATTTAAACCAAAACCCAGTTTGAGTTACAAGGAAGAGGAAAGCAAGCACAGTGGGATTAACTGGAAGTACCTATGAAGGCAAGAACAAAGAGCCTGAAGTCAGGTTTGATGAATCAGACCATGAGTATCAAATGAAAGCTGTGTGCTTCTGCAAGGACTATCCTGTTTCTGGTTTTTTTCATTATGACTATGATGCTTCTTGTGCATCCTCTGAGGACAGGGCTCGTCTGCAGTCTTTGACACACAACAGACACTCCAGCAAAACAACCCCAGACCCCCACCAGAAGTTTCACTGGGGCGTTGCATTAGGCAGGCTCACCACTACACTTTTGTTCATGGACTTGGCTTCAGTCTTAGATCTTTAAGACTGATGTATGCCCAAGCTACATTTGAGAGTAGATGCAAAGAAACACTCATTTCAGACTGGAGAGGAGGGGTGAGTGTGACCAGGGTCACACAGGAAAATGCCAACACATGGCATCTCCTATAGGACTTCAGATGCTGAGTGACACCAGCATCAAGAACAGTGTCACCTCAGTGTACCTGGCAGCTGTGCTGTTTCAGAGCATGCAGCAAGTTGACACTGGTGAATGAACGCATTAGGCAGACAAATGCTTTGCTGATTCAAGCTGCCAGGTCACTGAGTCAGTATCTCATGTAGCAGCCAGCTATGAGCAGGGTAAATCCTGCCCTCTGCATTTCACATCTTAGGCCATGCTGCACAATGTTAACATCACACACAAAACTTCATGCACAGGTGAAAACATCCAGAAAGATGAGAAATCACTCCACGTAATTTTAAAATTTGCATGTCTGTGTGTACATGGACACACAAACACAAATATATATTTATAGTAAATACATATGAACTTTTATACAATTATAACCACTCCAGTATATCCATGATATACTCCTTTCACTCACCAGGACAATACATTCTGTTGCACTGCCAGAATTTCTTGCTCAATTACCTTTTAAATCAAAATTCTTGCAAGTTCTGCAGAATTGGTCAGTGGAAGGCCAGTCTTTGGCAAGCAGGTGTCTGCAGAAAACCAGTGGTGATCCTTCAGTATGTGAAGGGTCCCTTCCCAGTTTCCTTCAAGTATCAACTCTGCTTTCATAGAAATACAACCCTGATAAGCCAAGCAGGATTTTTCTTTCAGTATATACAAATAATTAATATCCTTTTTACACCATGCAATGCAAAAAGTAAAATCACATTTCCCAGTGATTCTAGTCCAATTTGGCCCCATAACTCTTTTCGTTAAAAAGAACAAACACAAACAAACAAATAGAAAAAGCAATTCTCACATAAACCTTAAAAATCAGCAAACAAAGCTCTACTGATTTACATTTCCAAAGGAAATACCTTTTAGTAATAGTTAACTCTGCAATTGTTAAATCCAAACATTGCAAATGTGAGAAATGAGGACAGAAAACTAACAAAGAGCAAGAGTTACTGACTTGTCCAGACTGACACACACACACCTACACACACACCCCTTGTAAAAACACTTATGCACTTTTTAAAAATTAGTCTGAATCACCTGTTATGTCCTTGTTAATTATCAAAGCAGATGAGCTTGAACAGGTCTACTGGAAAAAGCACTACACAAAACTGTGTAATTCAAAGCCTTTGCTAAAAAGTGTTTCTAGAAATTAAATTCTATGTCTCTCAAAGACATTGCATTATTCATGAATTCTCACATAATGTTTCATTTACTGACACTGATCAGCTGTCAAAGAAAACTGAGCTTGTGTGAGTAACAGACACAAATAAAAAGAAAAGAAAAAAATCACAGAACTTTGGCAACTATTGAAAAACTGACTCAAAGAGTAGAAACAAAATTCTTTTCAAAGGTGGACAAAGCATAAAGGTTCAGTCTGTCCTATGTATTTTTTACTGACATCAAGCACTGTGATTTCCTTAATGAACTCACTTGAGGGTGTATAACTATTCCTGAAAGTAATGTAACAACAGATTGAGGTTTGCACCCCAATATTTTGATACAAACTATGGCTGGATAGTTCCAAAAGAGTTCCTTTGACACTAAATAGCTATTTTAAAATTTGTAATTAAAAAAATAATCTTTAAACAGTACAAAAACCTAGGTAAACCAAGTCTCAGTCAGTGTAAGAGAGGACCTCTTAATAAAGGGAAGGTAAATCCTCCTTTGGAGTAGTTACAACAATGCACAGAAATGAGACCAGAAACACAGGTAATAAGTTACAGGTCTGATTTACTGGAGTTGTTCAGTCATTTCCACCTCAGGGTCACTTCAGGATTGTAGTAATGACCCAGAAAAATACTTCCTAAAAAATAAAATGCTGGGAGGAGAGAGCAGTATCTGTTTCCACACACTGAGGATCTGATGTGCTGGAAGGGGCAGCCCTGCCTCCATCAGCTGCTTGCTGCACTGGTGGATGTGCTCAGAGGCAGGAGCCTGATGTTCCAACATCCCACCAGTGACATCCTGTCTCCATCCCTCACAGCTCACCATGTCTAAGTAAGGGCAGAATAAATGGGCCTTTGGGGCAATTTCAGCAGATGCTGTGTGCACAGCAGCCAGCGGAGGAAGTTCAGCCTCACTTCTCTAATGGCTCACACACTGCTCTGTGCATGCTCCCAGCTGTGCTTTTCCAATCACTTGCACCTCATGTTTGCACAACACTTCAAATTTGTGAAGACTTAGAAATTCTAGACTATGGTAAAAGATGACTGGAGTTCCAGGGCTAAAACACCTTAGCTCCTGGCTGAAAGATCAGACCCCTCACCTCTCCAGTGTTCCATGCCACATACAGGTTTCTGTGCTCACAACAGCCACTGTGCACATCAAATAAAATAAAAGTAACACTCTGACATCAGCAAGGAGCCAGGCTTTTCACCAAGAGTCCTGTGAAAAATCTCAGTTCAACATGTAAATATTAGATTTTTAGTACACGGCATATCAAGGAATTAGTGTTTTCCTTACAAATATATGGCACTAAGTGTAAAAACTTTATGACCTATTCCAAACATTGTACCATACTTCACAGCAAAGCTTAGAAAAGAATCCTCTAACTCCCACTTCTTCTAAATATACAGCTGGTGGGAGGCCAGGGTGTCCATGAACGGTCGCACGAGGTTGTCTGTCGAGAAGTAGAAGATCAAGCCAAAGGTGATGGAGATGGGAAGAGCAGGCAGTGCTTTCTTAAAAACAGCCAGTAGTAAAAGTGTTAGGCATAAACCCTGTCAGAGAGAAGAGAATAAAAATCACAAGGAGATAATAGTAAGACAACCAGAAATACATCTGTTACCAACAAGCCAACATAGAGATCATTATCTAAATGCACTGTAGAGCACTGCAGACTGCCTGAGCTACCAGCAGCAGGGTATGTGTGTGTGCCCACAGCTTTATCTTTCACACAAGTTGGCCAGGTTTCTCCTCAGCAATCTTGAGCACAACTCTCTGCTGAGAAAGTGGTACAAACAGCAAATGCAGAGGTACAGCTGACCCTGAGAGGTTAACTTCTTTACACATTATTTTACTCCTTGTCCTGTGCCATTATGAATGAAGTACTGATCCAGCAGACAAAAACACTTAAATCCTGGTGAACTGCACAGATAGGAGTTCCACTGAAGGTCTCTAATACTTAAAACACATTCCCAGTTTACAAGGTCCCTTGGGGTAAAAAAAGAAAGAAAACCAAAAAAAAACCCAAAACCAAATCAAATATCCACTGCTGTTCTTTTGGCTGGATTGCTTATTACAATGGGTGAGTTCTGGTTTTATCTGGGTAGCAGACCAAGATCTGCTTTTTGGAGCATGTGAGGAAGCTGTTGTCTATTCTGGGTAGATACTGTGGCTAAGTACCTCTAGATTCCTTCTGTCATCAGAGCCCTTTTTAATTCTTCCATGATGACAAAACTTCAAAGACACTGGGTTCCAAAAATATCTACTAGCTAAAGAGCAGCAGACAGGATTTTTTAATTTTTTTTTTAAATCAGTGTTTCTAGACTGCAAGCTTGTTGAAAATCTACCTGAGCCTGTAGTTCTGTTCTTACTCTCTCATGGACCATATCTGGCCTACGCCTGCTCTTTAAATCTCATCTCCCTTTTGAGATGTGCTTACTGCTGGGAAATTGGGGGGACATTTCTGGGAACCAGAAAGCCACGTAGCAGCAAGATTATGAAACTGCAAAAGGAGATAGAACAAGCTTTAACAGTACCATAAAAGACACATAATGGGAGGGCACTTGGTCTCACAAGATGGATGACCAAGAACATTTCCCCCAGCAAAGGGACCCTCCCATGCTGGACTGCAGCATAAGGAGTTTGGTGATGCTGTGGGTTTCTCTGAGCTGTGGGGTCAGAAAGCTACACTGAACAGACTCCAGTGAAGGCAGCTCATTTCTAGTTTGCATGCTTTTTGATGCACAGTCTTCACAAATGACAGTCACTTGCAC